TAATAATTGATATTTAAATAATATATACTAATAAATTATATTTTTATATATATTTAAAAATTAAAATTGTTTTAGACCTTTAATTTTTATATATAATTAGATATTTAATTATAATATTAATAAAATATAAAATAATTTTATATTATAATATAATATTCATCGAATATTCAGTGAATATTCAAATATTTATTTAAAATTTTTAATGAATATTCGAATATTAAAAAGATTGAACAAATAAATATTCGAATACAAATTTTTTGACCAAATCAGATCTCTATTTGTTCAAATTAGATTGTAGTTCGATCATGATCTTTGTAAATATATTTGTGAATATATTTTATAGCACGTATAGATGCACAAATTTCAATATTTATATAGCAGTTGTATTTATGACTAAAAGTTGGGTTATACAGAACTATATCTTGATTATTGACAGATTTGTTACCGATATTAAATACCTGTTGGTTATTTTTTCTCATATAGAGAGAATAGCCATCTGTTTCTATAGATATTGTATCATAAAAGTTTTTTAGATAATTTCTTTTGTATATACCATTTTCTATACATGGTGCTCAGAAGTTGCGAGAGCCACAAGGACTATGAACCATAAAATGTAGTACAGTATTAAATAATATCGGATCTTTTTCTTGATCAGGAAATTCAGCGCTTATGATATAATCTATGTTAGCAGGTTCTTTTATTTTATAGTCTTTATGAAGAAATATTAAAAAGTGTATATGAGGAAGACCACGTTTTTGAAACTCAATTGTATAAATATGAGCGACACTTTTGCCAAGTAAATTGTGTTTTCTGATATCTTTGAGAAGAGATCGCTATTTTAATTCAAATACACATACTACCAAGTCAGGACGGTCTGCTAGTATTTGACCAGGTAATAATTCATTAACAATTTCTGGCCATCTAGAATTTGCAGTTATAGTTCCAAAAATGTCAGGGTGTTGGTAAAATCGGGTAATAGCTATTGAATCTTGAAAATTTTCAAACATATAATATAAACTGCCGATATGTGTAGAAAGAAAAATTACTCGATGTCCAAAATTATTAAGGTTTAATTCTCTATTCGTAATGTTTCCTATGGTGTCAGCAAGTTTTTGATACAGATCAGCATGTAATATTCCTTGGTTATTATGTAAAAATCTTAGTCGATTCTGTTCAGTAGCTGCCTATATATCAACTATAAATTCTTGAAATAATTTTTCTCCTCTAAGGATTGTTGAAAATTCAATATGGCGAGGAAAGAGACAAAAGAAATAAAAATCTTTTTGTATAAGGCGATGAGCTCTGTTTGGATCATTTATTCGATTGCTTTTTGTGTTTATTAATGTTTGGTATAATTTTTCATGCCAGCCAAGTTCACCGCATAGAAAAAGAAATACATAATATAATGGTAAGTAAGCGGGATGTACTTTGTGAATACATTCAAGTGAATCATCACGTAATTGAATAACTATGTCACGTATAGCCTCTGGCAAAGATCTATTACTAGGTATAAGAATAGCGATTTCATCTGCAGTTAGAAGATTATAGTGGTATCTGTTTGTTGTACCAACATAATGTAAATAAATTTTTAAGTTTGTATTAGAAATATTGTTTCTATGAGCTTAAGCAAGAATTTCATAGGCTTGTTGGTATAATGGATAAAGTGTATGATAAGTATGTAAAGCATTTTGTATTTTCCACATTGTTTGTGCTAATAGATTATCATTGCATTTTATTTGTATGAAATATGTAATTACAGGGTCATAAATATAAAGTTGAGTATAGGCTAAGTATTTAACTTCAGTAAGAAAAAGTGAACTAAATAAATAACATAGTTCTC